TCCCCCCCCACCCCCGCCACAGGTCCCGACCCCCAGGTTGAGAAACACTGCTGTAGATGCACACAAAATTTGTAAGGCTAGGTGGATTGAGCTATCCATGTGTATCACACTGTAGTGGATAATATTTTAAATATTACTATATTTCTGTAATTCTAAGACTCAATTGCTCATAAGAGGCACACTAGTTTCCATACCTCCAACGAAATTACACACACACACACACACACACATATATGCATACATACACACAGAGAGAGAAACATCTATGATTCTAAGGTGCACCCCCATGTTTAGAGATACTTATATGGGGATCGAAGAATATAGTATTTAAGGTTCTCATTGGTGTTCAGCTTATCTTAATTTACTTAATTGGCTTAAAGAGATATGGTATTTAGCATATTTTACTGATAAGCAAGCCCACAAAAAAAGTTGTTTTTTTTTCCCCCTTATGGCAAGAAGCCGAGATGGCTGGGAACAGAGGCTCACCTAAGGCAGGTATCGGGACCCTCTTGTGGATCCTCAGTTTCACATTCTTTGCATTTTGATCCCCCTTTGACCTCATGCCAAACTGGTTTCTCCTTCTCAGCACGTATTTACAACATCAGAATGAGCCAGAGAATTGAAATGTTGTTTTTGGAATTTCTTGTTGTCATTGTGTGCCTTCATGTCGTTTCTGATTTATGGTGACCCTAAAGCAACTCTATCCCCTCCTCTTCTTCCTTGTAGCAGTTGTTGTTGTCGTCATTGTTTTGTGCCTTCCAGGTCATTCATTGGTTTATGGAGGCCTCAAGATGACCTTAACACAGAGCTTTCTGGCAATTTTTGTTCAGAGGAGTTTGCCATTGCCTTCCTCTGAGGCTGAGAGAGAATGACCTGCCCAAGGTCACTCGGGGGGCATCTACACTATTGTATAATGCCACTTGAAACCACGTTCACTGCCATGGCTCAATGTTATGGAATCCTGGGAGTTGCAGTTTGATGAAGCACCAGTACTATTTGGCAGAGATGGTTAAAGACCTTAAAAAACTACAACTCCCAGGATTCCATATCACTGAGCTGTTACAATTAAAGTGGTGTCACCAGGATCAGTCCATCAAACCTATTAGCAGCTCATTTCCCACTTTCTCACTGCAATTCCTTTCTGATCACACCCCTCTTGGAGGTAAAACATTAAACGGACCGACATTGGAAATGCTCCTATTACAGGTTATTGAATAGCCCGCCACCAAGAAAAGCCAACCAGTGATAACATCCTACAGAGTCCTGAGCCACTCAGAGCGCAGATCCTAGCTGGACCATTTGTTGTTCATTTGTTCAGTCATTTCCGACTCTTCGTGACCTCATGGACCAGCCCACGCCAGAGCTCCCTGTCAGCCGTCACCACCCCCAGCTCCTTCAAGGTCAATCCAGTCACTTCAAGGATGCCATCCATCCATCCTTCCCTTGGTCAGCCCCTCTTCCTTTTTCCTTCCATTTTCCCCGGCATCATTGTCTTCTCTAAGCTTTCCTGTTTCCTCATGATGTGGCCAAAGTACTTCAACTTGGTCTCTAGTATCCTTCCCTCCAGTGAGCAGTTGGGCTTTATTTCCTGGAGGATGGACTGGTTGGATCTTCTTGCAGTCCAAGGCACTCTCAGGACTTTCCTCCAGCACCACAGTTCAAAAGCATCTATCTTCCTTCGCTCAGCCTTCCCTATGGTCCAGCTCTCACATCCATAGTGACTACGGGAAATACCATTGCTTTTACTATGCGGATCTTCATTGCCAGTGTGATGTCTCTACTCTTCACTATCTTATCGAGATTGGACCATATTTGGACCAATTAGGAGCTGGTGCGGGTTTCTTGAATAGTTGTCAAATGAAATAAACATGTTCTGTGTTCGCAATTGTGGTATGTCAGTACTTTGGAGTATTTTCTCTGCTGGCATCCTCTTTGGCCATTGAGAATAAACCTCTGGGTTTGGCTTCTACCTGTCTGTATCTGGAAAGCTAGACATGCTGGGCTTTTGAACCTGCAGTTCTTATGGAAACTGAAATCACTCAACAAAACCACAGAGCTGTTCTTATAAGAAACACTTTGTAAAAATTATGTTCAGTTGGTCTTGGTTTGTCTTAATTTGCTTTTAATGACTGTATTTGAATATGAATATCAAAGCATGCTGGCCACATGACCTTGGAGGTGTCTGCAGACAATGCTGCCTCTTCAGTTTAGAAATGGAAATGAGAACCAACCCCCAGAGTCAAACACGACTGGGCTTAATGTCAGAGGAAAATCTTTACCTTTACCTATCAAGGCAATAGTATCAGGTACAGTATTAGTTAGGCCTATTTTAATAGTAACTCTCAAGCAACTAGGAAGTACATTTATATGGCATCTATCAATCTGTATGGGTACCAGTAAACTGAGTCTACTGTAAATGGTAATAGTAATAACAATAAAACAGGTGGCAATTGTTGCAGAGAATTTTTGAATTTACAAACACTTACAAATATGGAAAATCAAACCGCATTCTGCAGAATGGAAAAAGAAGTCCTTGAAAGAAAGTTTCTAAAGTGGCGTTTTTTTCCTAACGTACAGCGATGTAAACAAGAATGTATAACTCTGCGTATTTACATAAATGCTCTGTTGATAGACTATGACAAACAGCATTACATCATTGACTCATCAAGAAATTAACATAAAAGTAGGTGTGACTATTTGTATGTAATGAAGACTCTTTTTTCTTTAGCTGGTTCGAACCAGCCAAAAGTCTTTCCCTATATTTAGTGTTAGAAAGAAATGTCTTATCAGAGTCTTTCGAGCTTCTTTGCCTCCATAAATCTCTGTGCTTCCACACTCGTCCCCTGTTTATCAATCAGAAATGTAAAATCACACCACTATCACTATGAGAACAACAAGAAGTTAGTATTGTCAAAGGCTAGTATTGCCCCAGTCCTCAAACACTCTCTGCTTCAATGTATTGTCGAAGGCTTTCATGGCCGGAATCACAGGGTTGTTGTAGGTTTTTTTTGGGATATATGGCCATGTTCTAAAGGCATTTTCTCCTGACGTTTCGCCTGCATCTATGGCAAGCATCCTCAGAGGTAGTGAGGTCTGTTGGAACAAGGAAAAGGGGGTTTATATATCTGTGGAATGACCAGGGTGGGACAAAGGACTCTTGTCTGCTGGAGCTAGGTGTGAATGTTTCAACTGACCATGTTGATTAGCATTTGATTGCCTGGCACTGCGTGGAGCAACCTTTCGTTGAGAGGTGATTAGATGTCCTTGTTTCCTCTCTGTTGTTGTGCTGTTGTAATTTTAGAGTTTTTTTAATACTGGTAGTCAAATTTCGTTCATTTTCATGGTTTCCTCCTTTCTGTTGAAATTGTCCACATGCTTGTGGATTTCAATGGCTTCTCTGTGTAGTCTCTAGTTAGTAGCCAGCTGCATTAAATCACTACTGACCAAGAGGTCATGAGTTTGAAGCCAGCTAGGGTGTGGAGAACAAGCCCTATGAGGAGCGGCTCAAAGAGCTGGGCATGTTTAGCCTGAAGAAGAGAAGGCTGAGAGGAGGCTAGATGAGGGCCATGTATAAATATGTGAGGGGAAGTCATAGGGAGGAGGGAGCAAGCTTGTTTTCTGCTGCCCTGGAGACTAGGATGCGGAACAGTGGCTTCAAACTACAAGAAAGGAGATTCCACCTGAACATGAGGAAGAACTTCCTGACTGTGAGAGCTGTTCAGCAGTGGAACTCTCTGCTCTGGAGTCTGGTGGAGGCTCCTTCTTTGGGAGGCTTTGAAATAGAGGCTGGATGTTCATCTGTCGGGGGTGCTTTGAATGCGATTTCCCTGCTTCTTGGCCGAATGGGGTTGGACTGGAAGGCCCACGAGGTTTCTTCCAACTCTAGGATCCTATATACAGTCTTCCCTCCATTGATAGACAGGACCTTGAGAGACAGCGTCAATCATGAGAAGGATCTCTGTGAGTGACAGCCAATGTAGCCAATAAAAGAATGGCAACAATCTGGAAATACTTGAAGAGTTGGATCCACAATAACAAGCAATGTAACAAGCCCAATAGGAAATGAGAAACCGGGCATATCGCTTTAAAGCGATACAATTATTATTTTTTGTTGTGTCATGAGCTACTTGAGAAACTGCAAGTCGCTTCTGGTGTGAGAGAATTGGCCGTCTGCAAGGACGTTGCCCAGGGGACGCCCGGATGATTTTTTTTGATGTTTTTATCATCCTTGTGGGAGGCTTCTCTCATGTCCCCGCATGAGGAGCTGGAGCTGATAGAGGGAAACTCATCCGCCTCTCCCCGGATTCGAACCTGCGACCTGTCGGTCTTCAGTCCTGCCGGCACAGAGCTTTAACCCATTGTGCCACCGGGGGCTCCTGCTCTACAAATGGCCCGCTGGTAGTCGAAGGCGGGTTTTAAATATGACGAGCACCTTCTTCGGCCAATGAGCATCGTCTTCGGCAAGGGGAGGCGGGGCTCTCATACAGTGAGCGCTACATCCTATTATCCTATTAACCAATAGGAAACGCAAGGGCTGTCTCGCTATCCAATAGGAGGAGAGCAGGGTGGGACATCGATTCTTCTGAAAAGGAGGAAGGGACTAAATTTGTCCTCCAATGGGGAGCCTCGAAGCCGGGCCGCGTCCTCATTCGACTCCGGAAGGCGGGAGTAAATATAGACAGTCACTCACATCGCCCAATAGCTGTTGAGGAAGGGCAAAATAATCCCGCCTCATGGCAAAATACGATCCAATAGCAAGCCGTGACTGATTTTGAGCGGCATTTCCTTTGAGCCAATGGGCTTTGCGGAGGAGGGTGGGAGAGAGCGGGAAGACGGGGGAAGCTGCCTTCGCTTGAGGGGCACAATGGAGGGGGACAACGGCTGGGAGGCGGGAGCTCGGCTTTGACGGACAGGTGAGGTAACCAACGGAGAGGCGGGACAGCCGGGATGGGCTTGCGGAGCGACCAATGGTGTGGGTGGGAAAAGGGCGGGCGCGCGGCGGGAGGCGGGGCGTGCGCTGTGTGGAGACCGGAGGGTGAGGAGCAGAAGGGCTGTGGGAGGTACGTTGTGTGGGGAAGAAAGGCAGGCAAGGAGCCCCTCGGGAGCCGGAGGAGGAGGGGAAGGGAGGAGTGCGGGGAAGGGCCATTGGGGACGGGGAAGGAGGGCGAGGGGAGGCAGGTGGTGAGCGAGGCCCAGGAGGGGGAGGGGAAGAAGGCCTCTCTCTCTCTCTCTCTCTCTCTCCAAAGACACCCATTATTGTTGTTCTTGCTGCTATTATAAACATCATTTCCCCTCCCCCCCACTATTTTCCCTATTGTTGTTATCATAGCTTCTTATTATAGCTTATTATATTATTAGTATTTTATATTGATATTATATTATTGTTGTCATAGCTTCTTATTACATTATTCTTATTATATTGTTAGTATATTATATTATAATTATTATATTATACTAGCCGTCCCCTGCCACGCGTCGCTCTGGCCCACATGGGGGTTCTGTGTGGGAGGTTTGGCCCAATTCTGTCATTGGTGGGGTTCAGAATGCTCTGATTGTAGGTGAACTATAAATCCCATCAAGTACAATTCCCAAATGTCAAGATTCTATTTCCCCCCAAACTCCACCACTGTCCACATTTGGGCATATTGAGTATTCCTGTAGAGTTTGGTCCATATCCATCATTGTTTGAGTCCACAGTCATCTTTGGATGTGGGTGAACTATAAGTACAACTCCCAAATGTCAAGGTCTATTTCCCCCAAACTCCACCAGTGTTCACATTTGGGCATATTGAGTATTCTTGTAGAGTTTGGTCCATATCTATCATTGTTTGGGTCCACAGTCATCTTTGGATGTAGGTGAACTATGCCTCCAAAACCAAAGGACACTGCCCACCAAACCCTTCCAGTATTTTCTGTTGGTCATGGGAGAACTGCGTGCCAAGTTTGGTTCAATTCCATCGTTGGTGATGTTCAGAATGCTCTTTGATTGTAGGTGAACTATAAATCCTGGCAACTACAACTCCCAAATGTCAAGATTCTTCTTGTTGTTGTTCATTCGTTCAGTCGTCTCCGACTCTTCGTGACCTCATGGACCAGCCCACACCAGAGCTCCCTGTCGGCCATCACCACCCCCAGCTCCTTCAAGGTCAGTCCAGTCACTTCAAGGATGCCATCCATCCATCTTGCCCTTGGTCGGCCCCTCTTCCTTTTACCTTCCACCTTCCCCAGCATAATTGTCTTCTCCACGCAAGATTCTATTTCCCCCCAAACTCCACCTGTGTTCACATTTGGGCATATTGAGTATTCATGTAGAGTTTGGTCCAGATCCATAATTGTTTGAGTCCACAGTAATCTTTGGATGTCGGTGAACTATAACTCCAAAACCAAAGGACACTGCCCACCAAACCCTTCCAGTATTTTCTGTTGGTCATGGGAGAACTGTGTGCCAAGTTTGGTTCAATTCCATCGTTGGTGAGGTTCAGAATGCTCTTTGGTTGTAGGTGAACTAGATTTTTTTTAAAGAAGGAAAGTAGGATATAAATATATAATAATAATAATAGTTTCCTTAAGTCAGAAATGATGTGAAGGCATGCAACTACATAGTATTGAGAATTCTCAATCATTGCCCAGCCATGGATCCCCATTTGAGAAAGTCACACACTGTCAACCTTAGACTTGCCAAGAAAGTGTAGTGATCAGTTTGCCACAAGTCAGAAATGACCTGATGGCAAACAATAACATTAACAAATAATTGAGAATTCCATATGCCCACTCAGCTGTGACTTCCCTTTGGGCCTTGGATTGCTTCATGGCAGACTTTGCTATCAAAATAATGATCAAGGTGAGGACTCTGGAGATGTCTGGATGGATGGATGTTTTGATGCAGTGTCTGGGCAAATAAAACTGCATACGGTACACATTCTTCTAGTGGCACAACTTGAAAGCAGACTTTTGATTGCTTAAGATTATTTGAGGCCATGATTTAGAAAGGCACAGCTGTTCTTGTATGTAATGTTAACAGTCTTTGTATTACTACACAGGAATGGAGGCGTGAGTTAATCAGCTGTGAAATGTAGAATTAGGATCAAAGGGAATTCCAGTTTTTTTTGCCTTGAGACTCACTGCAGGCCTGGCAAATGTTTCCTTAGAACTGACCTGTCTGGGGTTCACTTCTTCAAAAGCTAAGAGTTGTGTCCTTAAACAAAGCAATGAGGTGATTATAATCTATTTCTAAATGTAGGTCATGACTGTTGTCTGGAGCAACATGCCGTGGGGTTGTCAATGAGATGACCTGAGGTTCATCCCATTCTGAGTCATGTCCTTGATATGCACCTGGGAAGCAAAATAGTGTCAAAGAGGTTTTTATGTTTACTTGTTTTCTTCATAAGCAGTTATGTCAAACCAACAATAAACACAATGTCGCCTACAGAGAAAGAATGTATATGTTTTTCACAGCTGGAAAATGCCTGGATTCCTGTAATCATAAGCACTTTGCATTAGTGCTTCGGGATTTCAGGCAACCCATCCTGGGGGAAGTGGCCCCAGTAGTCACTCCTTGAATTTCTAGTTGTTTTTTATTTCCTTCTGAAACTGCTAGGCCCATGATGGTCAACCTATGACACGTGTGTCAGCACTGACACGCATGGCTATTTTTGACGACACGCGGCCACATGCGGCCGCATACAGAAAAGTACACCTTCTAATTCCATCCTTAAATTTGTAAAAGGCTCTACAAATTTAACATCTACACGTTTGAGCATTGTTCACTCCATAACTCAGCATGGAATATACATTTTTCTTATTTAAACTATAAATATTGCAAAATTATGTTGTTTTTTTCTCGAAGTTGACACCCCACCCAAGTTATGCTCGGGTTTTTGGCAAATTTTGACACACCAAGCTCAAAAGGTTGCCCATCACTGTGCTAGGCGGTTTCAAGCAACAAGTATCTCCAAATCAGCTTCTTGGTTATCTAGTATGAAATACATGTAGCAATTTGTATCTCTTTTATTAAGCTGGGCTTTGGATAAAATGAGGAGCAGCACACTGCCTCTGTGGAAATGGGATATTTGTTTCCTGCCCTCTACTCTTTGGAACTCTACATTACCAGAACTTGGGTATCAGGGAAGACAGGTAGATTGAGAGCATGAACATAATAAGACTGGCAAGAATGCAAATGTAATAATTATGGAATTTGGTGACTCATGTGCTGTTTCATCTGAACTGAATTCCAACTGAGAATTTCTAATAGGAGGCAGAATTGATATTGACAAGGGGAATGTGCTTGCTTGAGGAAGATGGCAGCATTCTTAGTGGCTAGACATGCATCTCAGATTTGAATTTTGTATGCCCATAAAGCACACACAGTCCATAGTCTGTTATATATTTAAAAATCCATGGCATGGTGAGTTAATTCAGCTGTGATTTGGTTATAATGACTATGGTATTGTCATAGTGTTAAGTATATTGGAACAGTTCTGTTAAATATATATTTAAAAACAAAGCCAAAAGAGACCATATTTGAAGACTGCAGTGGGGTAGATGAGAGGAGACAGTGTCTGCAAAATCCATAGTACATTTTTTTTCATGGTAATTAGCTCTGGAAAGCGGTCCCATTCAGGGTTGGCTTGACGTGCCTTCCTCTTGGTACGTTTCTCTCTTTCGCCCTCATTCATGCCTCTTCAAATTCTATAGCACTGCTGGCCACAGCTGACCTCCAAGGGCCAGGCTTCCCAGTTCTCAGTGTCTATGCCATAGTTTTTAAGGTTGGCTTTGAGTCCATCTTTAAATCTCTTTTCCTGCCCACTGTTATTGTTATTCCAGAATTTCGGTATAACAATAACAATAGCCTTCTATAACACCATAACAATAGAGCTTCGTCCCTGAGGGCGTGACTTGAACTTCCTGTGCTTTCTCTTTCCACAGGCAGGCCGGTCTGAGTACAGCATGCTTCTGGAAAGAAGATGGGTTCCACTCGGGTAACTGCAAAGGAATTATGTGAAATTGATGACCTGGCTACAACACTCATTCTTGACCCTTACGTTGGCTTCAAGACACATAAGATGAACGTCAGGTAAGGACTGAGATCGAAAGGAATTGGAAGCTTTAGAGGGCAACATAGGACAGGAGCTACACAGCTTGGGACATAAGAGGAATAATGCTTTCAAGTGTATTTTTCATTGGAGAGCCTTCTCTTTCTTTCTGTGTTTCACCACTGCAGTCCACTCCCAGCCATCAGAAGGAAGCACCATTTGCGAGAGGCAGTAGAGGCTTTCAGGAAGCGCAAGGACCTTGAAGTCGCATACCAGACCCTCATGCAGGGTGGGTGGGCCTGCCAGTACTTTGCAAACCGGAGCCGTCAGCAGGAGGCTGCCTTCAAGACTCATGTAAAATTCTCTCTGCTTTCTGGTCTGGATAGAGTGGGTGGGGTCTGTGTTAAAAAGTGGTTTAGATAGTATTTTTTTTTACTTTCAATACGTGAAAGTTAGTTATTGTCAGAACTAAACAGTAAGCGTGCTTTTGTGTTAATCAGTAATTCCTATATCATGTTAGTATGAATTAATTGTAAATCCTGACTATTATGGTGCCCCTCCTTTCTAGGGTACACTAAATATGTGGAGCAAATTTTTGCCTTGTTAATATATACAGCAGGTGTGATTGGTCTTATCTCATGCCTCTTGCAATAACCCATGTGTTGTTGGACTGCTTTTTTAATCATAGAAAGGGGTGGCAGCAGAGAACAGAAAAGCTCAGTGGATTAGAAAGATTTATCTCTCTCATTATTGATAGTTTGTTGTGTTTTAAAAAATGAGCACTAGAGGCAGAACTCCTTCATGTATGATATACATCCAGCAATGGGTTAAACCTTTGTGCCGGCAAGACTGGTGACCGACAAGTCAGAGGTTTGAATCTGGGGAGAGTGGGTTGAGCTCCCTCTGTCAGCTCCAGCTCCCCATGCGGGGACATGAGAAAAGCATGTTTGTAGAAAGTCACAAGTTCAGCCCATGTCATCTCAAAGTTGAGCCCCTTTTGGCACAATGGGTTAAACCCTTGTGCTGGCAGGACTGCTGATCAACAGGTCAGTGGTTTGAATCTGAGGAGAGTGGGGTGAGCTCCCTCTGTCAGCTCCAGCTCCCCATGCAGGGGCATGAGAAAAGCCTCTCACAAGATGGTAAAACATCAAAAAATCCAGGCAGCCCCTGGGCAATGTCCTTGCAGATGGCTAATTCTCTAACACCAAAAGCGACTTGCAGTTTCTCAAGTCCCTCCTGACACACACACAAATCCAGCATATAAACCAAACTGGCTGACAGAAGAAGCATTGGTTGATTTATTTCATGGTCCTTAGTCTTGTCTACTTATAAAGATAACAGTAATGAATAAGTCCAACAAATAGGTAAATTGTGAAACTAGGACTGTTCAATTCACAGTGGTCACAAAATCAAGCAATATGCAATAAGTTCTGTATAGTCTTTTAGTGATGTCGTTGTATGTTCATGCATCAGCCTCCCACGACCGGTTTCGGCCTTTGCTTAGGCCTTCTTCGGGTGGTCTGTAATTTTACATACATAAATACATTTTACAATTGTATAGGTTGAACATAATGAAATAAAATGCATTTAGAAATACTTACAAAGTTCAGTCTTTTACATATGTTCTCATAAGAGATACTTAATTTTTTTTGCAATGGGATCTAGGTAAAAGGAACAAATTATGGCTATTAACATTTAAGCGTTACATATATCAAAATAAATGTTTTACCAATATGTATCGCCAAATAGGTGTATACTCACAAGATACTCTGCTTCTAAGTTTGATTCTAATTGCGAGTATGAGCAAGATCTAGGAATTACCTCTATTTAAAGAGGAAAATGCACATCAGATGTAGAGGGGACAGAGAAGTTAATTAAAGGCACAATTAATTAAATGGGTGTTTAAGCAACTTTTAATGTGGATATAAGTGATTTTAATGTTTGTATATATTTATGGTTTGATGTCCCGGGATTGAATGTTTGCCTTATATATGTTGTGCTCGGCCCTGAGTCCCCTGCGGGGCGAGAAGGGCAAAATATAAATGTTTTAAATAATTAAATAAATTTGTTCTTTGAGAGGTTGGAGTATGCTGGGTGACTTTATGTCTATTTGGGAAGGCATCCTCCAAAACCACACTAATGGGATTTGTTCTTTATCTTGGTTTTCCAGATATTTCGTTACCTTCGTATTTTCCTTCCTGAAAGTGGTTTTGTCATCAAGCGCTGTAACCGATATTCCCTGGAAATAAATGGGGCCCGGGTGGTCTCTGCAAAATCATGGTACGTTCACAATGCTGTGACTCTCGTTTTATTTTCTGGTATAATTGGCCTGCTCTTTTTTCTTTGTCTGTAACTTTAGAAATGAAAAGTGATTTATACGTGTGTTTATATGCTGCTTAATATGTTCTCGGGCTGGTTTGCAGCAGGATTAGAAACAGTGAAATACAGTTATAAATAATAAAAACATGAATATACAATGTAGCATAAACTCAAGTTGTCTGGAGGTGGCATCCTCAGACTTGAAGAATGGCAACAATATTTCAAAGCTCTAAGAACCAGTTTAAGTGTTGGAATACAACTTGAGAGACCAGGGTTCAAAGCCTCACTCACTGGGTGGCCTTGGGCAAGTCAAATTCTGTTGCTATCAGAGGGGGGCAAATGCAAACCCTTTTTGAACAAATCTTGCCAAGAAGACACTGACAAATTCACCTTAGGATTGACATAAGTCAAAAATAACTTGAAGGCAAGCAACAACAACATTTGTATAAGGCCTGAGAGAATTTATTTGTATATTTATTTACCCTCTTTATATCCCACCTTTCTCTACCCCAAAGGGGACTTTGGTTTACATATAGGCCAGTGTTTCTCAACCTGGGGGTCGGGACCCCCGGGGGGGTCGCAAGGGGGTGTCAGAGGGGTCGCCAAAGACCATAAGAAAACACAGTATTTTCTGTTGGACATGGAGGCTCTGTGTGGGAAGTTTGGCCCAATTCTATCATTGATGGAGTTCAAAATACTCTATGATTGTAGGTGATCTATAAATCCTAGTAACTACAACTCCCAAAGGTCAAGGTCTATTTTCCCCAAACTCCACAAGTTTGGTCCAGATCCACCATTGTTTGGGTCCACAGTGATCTCTGGATGTCAGCGAACTACAACTCCCAAACTCAAGGTCAATGCCCACCAAACCCTTCCAGTATTTTCTGTTGGTCATGGGAGTTCTGTGTGCCAAATTTGGTTCAATTCCATCATTGATGGAGCTCAGGATGTTCTTTGATTGTAGGTGAACTATAAATCCCAGCAACTACAACTCCCAAATCAATCCCCCCCACCCCCAAACCCCACCAGTATTCAGAATTGGGCGTATTGAGTATTTGTGCCCAGTTTGGTCCACTGAATGAAAATGCATCCTGCATATCAGATATCTACATTAAGATTCATAACTGTAGCAAAATGACAATTGTGAAGTAGTAACAATAATAATGTTATGGTTGGGGGTCACCACAACATGAGGAACTGTATTAAGGGGTCACGGCATTAGGAAGGTTGAGAACTACTGATATAGGCAATTATTCAATGCCTTAAAACACATACAATTACAGTAACATTAAAATTAAATTAAAATTAATACATATTAAGCATTCAGAATGTTTATAAACATTACATTCAATATAAATCACACCATAATTGTTGTCCAAAGACGTTCCATAGTCATTGCACGTATTCCATATCTGTTATTGTACTGCACGATTCTCCCAAAGCCAAGTTTTTACTTTCCTAGGAGGGAGGGGACTGATCAAATGTCACTGGGGAGGAAGTTCCATAGCTGAGAGGCCACTACTGAGAAGGCCCTGTCACTCTTGCAAGGAAGGCAGGACCGAGAGCATGGCCTCCCCAGATGATCTTAGTCATGCGGGGCGGGGGAATACGTTCGGACAGGTAAGCTGGGCCAGAACAATTTAGAGCTTTATGGGCTAAAGCCAGTACCTTGAATTGTGTTCGGTAGCAGACTGGAAGCCAGTGTAGCTGGCGCAAAAGAAGGAATGTCCTCTCTTTGTATGTCACTCTGGTGAGCAACCTGCCTGTTCCCGTTGGCCCAGTTGAAGCTTCCAAACAGTCTTCAAGGGCAACCCCACATAGAGCGCGTTGCAGCAATCTATATGGGATGTAACAAGAGCGTGGACTACCGTGGCCAAGTCTGACTTCCCAAGGTACAGGCGCAGCTGGCGCATAAGTTTTAATTGTGCAAAAGCCACTGCCAGGGGACCTTTAAGAACTGAAAGATCTTAATCTGGTGCAGGAAGACGCACAGAGCAAGTGCCCACAGAGGCTGTCTGGAGAAGCATTTCACAGACAGGGCAATAGCCCTGAGAAGGTCCTCTTCTCAACCTTCATGGCTACATGGCAAAATAGGCATAATATTTATCAGTTGCCCGTTCCTGCTGTACTTCATGCTGTATTGTGACAGCAGGAGTACTGCTGATTTACAAGATTATTTCTTTTCTCTTCGACCATAAGGAGAAAGAATGATAAGTTGGAACTCCTGGAGGGTTACATTGCAGACCTGACGGAACAAGATGAGAGCCTCCTGCGGACAGGCGAAAACGACTTCAGTGTCATGTACTCCACGCGAAAGCAAAGCGCCCAGCTGTGGCTGGGACCTGCATCCTTCATTAACCATGGTATGTGGAAGCTTCCAGCTAGTCTTAGTTGTGTCCCTTAGTCCTTGTTTCAAAGGTCTTTTGCTGACTTTCCTCTTCTCCCTAGTACTGTTAGAAACTTTCAGGTCCTGGCTTAGTTTCTGCATCAAAAAAACTGCTGTTAAAACTATTTTTTTCTGTTGTTGTTTTTAAATGAAAAAATAATAATAACAAAAGGTAATGATTTTTAATATAATTTGACACTTGATCATGCACATTCTAATAATGAATCGAAGATGTCCATTTGCAATGGAATGTAGAACACATACTTTATTTCTCTAGCGAAATCTGCCACTCTCCATCTTGCCAGTCTTATGGAGTCACTTGTGCTAATGTACAGCAAAAGTCTCCTGTCACTCCTGTTTTTGCTACTACTAAAAGGTTCCTCTTCTAATTCAATTTCTAAGGGTTTTTGAATAATTTGGTACGTACAGGAATAATTCAAAAAAAGGAAGATTTATCTAGTCTAACATAGTCTACTTTGATAAGCAGTAACTTTCTGTGGCACCGGGATTGTGGCGCATCTGGCTGAGTGTCAACTGCATTAAGATCACTCTGACCAAAAGGTCATGAGTTTGAAGCCAGCCCGGGTTGGAGTGGGCTTCCAACCAATTGTGTAGCCTGTTGTCAACCTTTGCAACCCGAAAGACAGTTGCATCTGTCAAGTAGGAAAATTAGGTACCAGCTTGTGTGGGGAGGCTAAATTATCTAATTTATGAGGCCATAAAAAAGACTCCAGCAAAGCACTCCAGCAAAAGCATGCGGGGAATGCGGAAGTACTTCATCAGTGTCGCAGATGGACAATGAAAGCGACAGCTCCCCTGGCATCCAGAAAAAGTTAAATAGCCTCGGTGTATGTCTGTATACGTTGTATGTCAAATTGGCATTGAATATTTGCCATATATGTGTACACTGTAATCCGTCCTGAGTCCCCTCCGGGGTGAGAAGGGCGGAATATAAATACTTTAAGTAAATAAATAAATAATGCAGAAGACTACACCATTTTCTGCAACCTGATTTTTCAACTTTGAGATTTTTTTTTTCATGTCAGGAGCGACTTGAGAAACTGCAAGTCACTTCTCGTGTGAGAGAATTGGCCATCTGCAAGGACGTTGCCCAGGGGACGCCCGGATGTTTTGATGTTTTACCATCCTTGTGAGAGGCTTCTCTCATGTCCCCGCTTGGGGAGCTGGAGCTGACAGAGGGAGCTCAACCCACTCTCCCCAGAGTCAAACCACTGACCTGTCAATTAGAAGTCCTGCTGGCAAAAGGGTTTAACCCATTGTGCCACAGGGTGCTCAACTTTGAGATGACATGGGCTGAACTTGTTACCTTCTACAAATATATGCTTTGTAATGGACCACAGTGTTTCGAACGACCTTCTACTTCATTATGCTAGAGAACTGATCCACTTTAAATTTGGTTGCTGCCTCCTGCAGAATTCTGGGGTTTGTAGTTGAGGAAGCAGACTTTCACAGCCTCACTAAACTACAAACCTCAGAATTCTGCAGGAGGCAGACACCAGGTTTAAAGTGGATTCATTCTCCCGTGTGATAAGGTCACCTAATAACAATTTACCAATCTGTTTATCGAGTAGTAATCTCATTAGAAAAGTTTTCCTTTGGACATCCCTTGAGTTACTGTTTTCTAAAAAGGCAATTTGCTCATTAAGATACAATAATAAAATTATTATTGTCATGACCTAATGATGGATAATTGCTTTCCAGAATCCACTTGCAGAGTGCCAAACGTTATGCTTAACACTTCTATTATTTCGCCGTTCTACAGTAGCCACTAAACGATTCCCTCTCTCCAGAGTTATTGGGAATTTAACAGAATATCAGACTCCCCAACCATAAAGCTTGAAACATGCCTTCAAAAATAGACATTATTGTTATAGTGTATTAGAATCCACACTGGTCATGGCATGGCATCTTTGTCTTTGATTGTATATGTTAGATATTCCCCCCTTTTGATGGAAATGGTGTTATAAATAAATATTGTTGTTAAGGAACAGCCATCTTGCTTGAAGTCAAGAAGGCGTCTGTGTCCTCAGTACATGGGTGGATATCTCCCTAGGAATCTAAATTTTGAACCTATGCATGAATAAAGGCAGGGTGTGAATAAGATATTTCCAAAACTGGTTATTGTTTAAGAGGAAGTGGATTTGTCTGTACTCTGCTCTGTTACCGAGAGGAAAGGAAAGAATGAATAAAATGGCATTTCTGTAATGTGTATCTATCTTTTTGTCTTTACGTTCTCCTTTCCCACAACATGTCTGTCACATGGAACCTCTCAGACTGTAGGCCAAATTGTAAGGTAAGGCATTTTGTCTAATAATGGAGGGATATAGTGCTCCCTATGGAAATTATCCAAGCGATGCACTTGGGATAAGCCATGAACTTTGGATAAAAATTTTGAGGTGTTGGGGGGGGGGGGATTGCATTCATAGAAAGGAAGGGGTGACTGAAACATTTAAGAGTGTCAAGAAGCATGGTCTCCAAAGCTTCCTTATTCTGATGCCACCTCACATCATTCTTACCCTTTCAACATCGTGTGGGTTAGAAATGTGATCTAATTTTCTTTATCTCAGAGCTACAAAAAACTAGATCTAGGCTCTCTTGGCATATTGGATATTTAGTATAGAAGGGCCTAACACTGATGCTGAAGGGCCCCCTGGTGCAGTAGTTTAAACTTCTGAGCTGCTGAACTTGCTGACTGAAAGGTCGGTGGTTCGAATCCAGGGAGCAGGGTGAGCTCCCACTGTTAGGCTCAGCTTCTGCCAACCTAGCAGTTTGAAAACATGCAAATGTGAGTAGACCAATAGGTACTGCTCAGGTGGGAATGTAACAGTGCTCCATGCAGTTATGCCGACCACATAACCTTGGAAGCGTCTGTGGATGATGATCACTACCCCCCAGAGTCTGACACGACTAGACTTAATGTCAAGGGGAAGCTTTTACCTTTATACTGATGCTAGGTATTGTTATTCTGTTTAAACAAACAGTTGGGAAAGGCCAAAATTTCAGGCTAGATTTTTGAAGGGAAAATAGAGTATATTTCTTTCTTTTCCCAAAAAGAAAATCTTAACCCTGATTTTGCTCCATTGCTGCCTCCCCCCCCCCCCCCCCCCCCGCCATGCTATATTTGTGCTGTAGTTTGTCCCAATGGATGGAAGCACTGCCTGTGTCAAGGTGCTGCGAGACATTGAGCCAGACGATGAGATCACATGCTTCTATGGTGACGGCTTCTTTGGGGAGAATAATGAATTGTGCGAGTGCTACACTTGTGAAAGGTAAAAACAGCGCACTGGCATCTTGTGTGTTGGGAGCCGGATTGGGGGGGGGGGGGGGGCTTCTTAAAACGTTGAATGTAGGGCAAGGGAGAATATTTGACAACTACATAATTTTTCATATGTTTATGCAGTTGTTTAATAGCTATGTCTGCAGAAAGAGAGTGCAGACTGCCCAGGAGAGATAACTTTCACCCTCAAGAGAGTGGTCTGCTCCTGCACCTGGTTGCTAGGTAGCAAAACCCTCGAGGGACTTAATGTGTCTCTTTGTGGCCATCACAGTACCTTTCAAATAGAAACTTTAACATATTATGGGTTAGGAGGAAAGCACTATCCATCTTTCTACCTCAGTATATCAGTGAATAATCTCTTTCCATCATCTACTTAAAAAAACCCCAATCATTTGTACTCCCTTTTTTATTTTTATTTTTACTAGCTGCCTTGAAGATTCGCCTGGCAGGAAAGAAGCATATAAAGATTTTATATAAGCAGGGTGAAGGTCTCTTTGGTTAATGCCTGTTCCTGTCTTGTCCCTCTGCCTCCCCACCCATTCTCAACCATTGCCTCTCAGGAAGGGGGGAGGAGCCTTCCGCCTCTTGAATCAGACACCATCTCCATCTATCTCGGACAATGAGAAATACCTGCTGAGGGAAACAGATGGCCGTCTTCAGCGGTGGAAAAACCAGTCATGCAAGTTGGCGCAGCGCAGTGGGAAAGTAGGACGTAAGACTCAGCGCAGGAGGGCACGATTACGTGGTGAGATGTTTAAAGGTGATATGTGTAATGCAGTGTGTAGTTTGCAATCCTGTGTGGTGGCCAGTTTGATCTTGCAGAAGAGAGATGCCTGTTCTTTCCAGCCTTTGTCCCTCAGTTTCCTATTTGCTTTCTACTTGCTCTACAGTCCAGGGGAATACCTTGGAATTTTTGCTTTGTTGTGCAAAATGAAGGATAACTGTGAGGTTAGAACACCATAGATGCGCCCTTTGGCTTCAAAAGATTATGTGCAACCAACTAGATAGCCCTATAGTTCTCTTTCATTAAAAAACACCCCTAGGGTGGGTGTCCCTGGGCATGAACAGTGCTGCTCTGACAGATTTGCATCTCATTTTTGGGGCTCCTTAGGGCAGAGAGTGTTAGGGAAAACTACCCTAAAATAAAGCAGAGCATCCAAAAACAAACAGAATACAAAATTTGAGCATCAGCTCATTAGTGAGCAGAGCGTGAAGTGCCGTGGATGTGGCTGTAAAGAATTCAGAGCTTAGGAGGCAAACATGCAGAGTCCAATCTTTTAAAAAATCACAAAAGGTTTATTTACAATAATAATCTTAATCAAGAAGTGGCTCTGAGCTACTCTAATAGTAATCTCTTCTAAGGTTTTAAGAGAGGGAAAAACTCAATCACTACATCTCTCCTGACACACAAGCAGAGAGAGATCTCAAAGCACACAGCACATACTCTCCATATTAAAGTGTCAGAAGGCAGAAATCGGATTGAAAAAGGCTTGCAGAAGAAAAGTATCCTTTTTAAACAACCAATCAGAATGAGAGCAGAAACAGAGAGGAGAGAGCAAATAGATACTGTACCTTCCCAACCGTCAGACAGGAGACAAGGGGTAAAGGAAACCCTTAGTCCAGTGGTTTTCAACCTGTGGGTCCCCAGGTGTTTTGGCCTTCAACTCCCATAAAGCCTAACAGCTGGTAAACTGGCTGGGATTTCTGGGAGTTGTAGGCCAAAACACCTGGGGACACACAGGATGAGAACCACTGTATTAGTCTATTCTAAACTAACTAAACTGTTCCCCATTGAGGACTACAGACTTGAGCCATGTGGGGTTGAATCCCAACAGGGAGAATCCGCTGAGGTACAGAGTAGTGAAAAATGCTCACTGTGTGATGAAGGCATAGTGTATGAATACTGCCATAGTGAAAGTGGATTCAGCTTGCTATCTGAAAGTAGGAAAGGGAGCATTGTTTTGGGAACTGACCTCCTTTTTTCTTCTCCAGGTAATTTACGTAGATCTTCTATTCGCTCGTACTTTAGGATGCTAAAGCCTTTATACATCCCAGTACATGACTGTTTGGCCTGCAGTGCGCATAGGTGTAAGATCCGCAAGCAACTCCTGGTACGTCTGATTCGCTGTCCTCTTTCTATGCTCCCTGCATCACAGCTCTGGCTATTGAGATGGGCCCAACAGGATTACTCCTTCATGGAAAAGCACAATGTGACCTGGTTTGACCGGCGCAGATTGGTTGTGAATCTTGGCAAGAGGGTACCCTTGGACTGGATAGGGTTGCAGACAGACAAAGTATCTGAGAACGGGGACCATCAGCTGCACATCAGCAATGGGGATCTTAGCCAGGGAATTGAGGAGCACCCCACAGGAACTGTGGAGAGCAACACTGAGGTCACAGAACCCCTTGCTTCAGGAGAACAAGCCCTACTCATATCTCCAGGCCCTCTTTCCTCTACCCAGCTACTCTACAGAACAAGGAGCATGGCCAGACGGCAAGCTAAGCTTTTGCCCAAATCCCAGCTGGCTCTACCAACAGTAGACCCCAAGCTTGCACAGTATGTTCACGTCAACCTGGAGGGACCCCCCTTAGAAGGCAGGGAGCACTGTGAACAGCCTCCTTCAGACCCACTGGAGAAGGAACAGGTAGAGGAGCAGGTGGAGGAGCAGCCTCCTCCCAAGCAAATGGTCTCCTTCCCTCCCTTTGTGCCACCCAAACGGCTGCGACTGGTGGTGAGCCATGGCTCCATCAACCTTGAGATGGCGTCTGGCTCCTGCGAGGATCTCTCTTGATCTGGCTGTACCTCTAGGTACGGGGAAGAGACTGCATCTTCTTACTTATTCTTGATAAGCCAGGGCAAAATCCATATATGTTCTTTTTCTTTCAGGTCCCTTCTACACTGCCATATAATCCAGATTATCAAACCCACGTGATCTGATTTGAACTTGATTGTATGAGTCTATACTGCTATATAATCCAATTCATAGCAGATCATCTGGATTTTATATGGCAGTGTAGAAGGGGCCTCAGTCTTTGCATGGGCCAAGAAGCCTTCTCTCATCTGTTCTGATGTGACACATCCACAAAGGGGAATAAGAACACAATACTGTGTTCCATCTTTTCTTCCTTTTTTTTTCTAATGCAGATTTTTTTTCCTCCCAGGGTGCTTTCTCCATTAGTCCCACCCTTGACTTCTTTTGTTTTGACAGCGCATTCCACAGTCTAGCTAGACCTTAGTACACACCTTTGAAACAAGCCATATAACAGGCTGCATGGATATCTGGGATCACCACCCCGTGTTGTCCTCTCTCTGAGCTTTGCTTTCTGTCCTCAAGACTACGCCTGCTTTCTGACTCTAGGTGTGCCCATTCTCTGCTTTGTAGCGGTTCATCCATGGACTTTTCTACATACTCACATGGTGCTTTTGCTGTTTGTCACCCTATCAAAGCTGTGAAGCTGGCGTAGGTCATGTGACTTATGGATGAAGGAAATTTGCATCCAATCAGGGAAGTCTCTTTAATCCATTGAAGAAAACCAGCAACCGGAAGTGCATAATTGCATGGAACCCAAACTCTTTAACCCCTGTAACCTGATGGCGGCGGCTTGCTTGCTAAACAGGCTTATTTAGGGAATTATACTGTTCCCCCCTCCCCTCCCACCTCTTTTTGGGTGCCTACTGTTAAAAGACATCTAATTTTCTAGTTTTTAAAGCCACTTTTGTATTAGGTCTGTCTTTATCTCTTCTCTCTGCTGGGACTTTTAAACAAATGTGTACTGGGAACTTTTTAAGACTCCTTATAAACTCAAAGCATTCAGGTTTTTATATTTGATACAGTTGAGGTTTGATAGTATCAGAATAACAGTGCATTAGACAGTTTTATGCAAAAAAAAATCACACTGTAGTTAAGTGTTAGAGAATGAAACGCTGTAGTTTTGCTTCTCAGCTCTAGTCAGGGGACCTCTTGGCTCAGGGGCATTGTGGTGTGGCACCTTCCTTTTGCGAGGTGTTGACTTGAGCAGGATAAATGCCTCTTACTTGCCTAGTGGTTGCTGTGTTTGGTTTAAAACCACTTGCAGCTTATTTGCCCACTGCCCTCTCCTGGCAGTGGTTGGGATTTCTAGCAGATGGGTCCTATTGCAGTGCTTTGGGATCAAACTGCAAGGTTAGCATCTGGTGCCAGGAGCTATTGGGTAGATGGGAGAATCATACCCAGCTGTTTTCTGAGAGTGGTTGCTTTGTTTTGCAGTTGGCAGTTTTATGGAGAACTTGGTGGTGCTCTCTGGAAGTGCATAGGCAGGAATCATAGGAGAGCCTATGATTTTAATCTTTCACTTCCTTCTGTTGATTTTGACCTCCACCTTGATATATTTCAGTCTTAAAAGGAGCTTCTCCATATAACATTTGAAAGACAGATGTGCATATGGAAGTCACACTAGTATCTTAAGGCTGCAGTTCTCCGTATATGAGGAGGTTAAATCTTCTTGAATTCAGGCATCCTTCTGAGTAACTATGATAGCATCCAGCTGAAAAACTCATTGATCTCCGGCTAGAGGAGTCTGTCTTAGAAAACCTTTGTAGTTGCCTGGCATGCATTTTAGCTCTGAGATAAACAGTGTGTTGTAGTTCAGGCCTTCTGCTGTACACAGCTCTGCAAGTATAGGTGCTGATTCCTGGGTAATAATGTGTGTGTTTGAAAGTGGTTTTTAGGCAATAGTTTGTGAAAAGGTGTAAGGGCACAGTTGGCAGTTAGGATGAGCTGTAGTTATTCACCTTGTCTCATGTGCAGGGAGCATTGGTAAAACTTGATTAAACTTGGTTTATTCATATACATGAGTGGTTCTCAACCTGTGGCTCCCGAGATCTTTTGGCCTACAACCCCCAGAAATCCCAGCCAGTTTACCAGCAGTTAGGATTTCTGGGAGTGGAAGGCCAAAACATCTGGAGACCCACAGGTTGAGAACCACTGTTATAAACTGTGTTTGAACACCACAGTAAGCCACAGGGACCCTGGTTTATCAGGAGAGAGCAGCAAGGTTGTGTGCCCTCTCTAATTGTTCCCACTTGCAGCTGAAACAGGTAAATAAACTATAATCTGAAAGCCTGTGGTTTATTTACTGTGAGAGCGGGTGCTCTGATTTATTTCCCTCCCAACAAGTTCCGTGAAATCCTGGGTGGGTTGGGTCCCAAGGCAACTAACAATTTAAAAAGCAATGCAGCTAAAATGTGCAAAAAGTAAACATTGAAATAGAATTAAACTAATTAAATTAAAAGACAACTATAACATTAAAAACGGTTACAAACCATTCTAAGACAACGCAGTATTCCCTAACCCATTTTAGCCAACTGCTGGAAGGGCAACAAGGAGAGGTACCTTCTGGTCTCCTTGGGAAGGGAGTCCCAGAGTTCAGGGGCAGCCACCAAAGAGGCTGTCTCTTCCCTCTCCACCAACTGCACCTTTGGTGGTGGTGAGACTGAGACAAGGTTCTGGTGGTTGTTAGGAAAAGAGGCCAAAGAATTGGCTCTTGTTGGGTGTAGCTGTTTCTGCTGTTAGTGGGAGCAGCCAAAGAGCATGTGTCAGTATGTTGCTTGCCCTCATTGAATCAGGCATCCTGCAGTGTCATTGCTTACTGTGAGGTTTGAACAGGGCCAGTAAATATGGAAAGTTTTTCTGAACCCTGAGGCAACTTCGGAAGAAATAGCCTCATGGCATAACCTTCACAGAAACACAGGCTATCTAAAGGGTACCAACACTGACCCAATAAAGTATGTTTATTAGGATAACTGGTTTCTACTGTAATGGCACCAAAATGAAACCAAATTGTGTTTTGGAGTACCTTCATGGTTGATGGCAACCATGCATACTCAAATGAAGGCATCTGAGAAATGTGCCTAAGTGGACTGTGAAAAGCAGTCTCCCACATCTGTGGAGAGCACTTGGCAAACTGCAAGATAGAAAATACTGAATGTATGCAGACAATTTATGCCATTTCCCAGGACCTTCGCATTAGTATACAAAGCTGCTCCAGAGTGCAACATGATTCATGAAAGAGAATTAGAAAATGTCAGTGCACACGAGGACTGATACACAGATGAAACTACATGTCTTTCCCTGCTTCCCAAATTTGTATTTGTGTCTCAAATTATAGCTTTCAAATAGACTTCTTTCTTTTATTTTAAACCTCTATAATTTATTGCCATGCTTTAGACCAGTGGTTCTCAACCTGTGGATCCCCAGATGTTTTGCCCTTTAACTCCCAGAAATCCTAACTGCTGGTAAACTGGCTGGGATTTCCGGGAGTTGCAGGCCAAAACACCTGGGGGCCCACAGGTTGAGAACTACTGTTCTAGACAAACAAACCCAGCCATCATTTGTTAGTTGAGCATCCCTGTTTAAGTACAACACCTTGTGCATGTGGCATAATGCTTATTCCATGCCAATGCACAGCTGTATCTCAATAGAGCCTTGGCCCAAATGAAAAGAAATACAGAAGATAAATGGTGATAAGAGTCTCTATGAGTAGAAAGGAAAGATAGAAAAATCAAGTTAATAATAATAATAATAATAATAATGGCAGTTTTTTACAAGACATGCATTTTCACTTCTGTATCTGCATTTGAATGCCATCCAATGCCTGTACTAAAGAACAGCTGTGTTTCTGTTGTTGCCAACCTGCTCCAAGCTCCTTCTGATAGGAGTGCCCATACTTGTGTTTCTGCCTGCTGCTCTGCCCATTTGTGTGGCTGTTCCATGTTTGTTATTAGTAGCCAGCTAGTGCACAACCTTTAGATAGTAGCTGTTATGGTGGTTTGGGGGTGGGGAGAGGAGGAGGGTGAGATGATGAAGGGCTTGGATAGGGAAGGGGGTGGGTGGGCGGGTGGGTATTGCTAGCCAGGACACTGAATGCTCCCTGTTGAAGGGTGGGCTGGGGCTCAGTTTTCACCTTTCTGTGCCTCTTGTTTTCCCCATCTTTTAAGGTGGGTTTGTACTTTAAGCTACCTCGTTTGGGAAGGAAAGCGTCAAGACACCTCTCCAGCCTCTGTCTTTGATCTGCTTTCAATCCTGTGTCCGTTTAGTCTCTCCTTCCTTCTCCCATCCTCACCCTCATCCCCATCCCTCTCACATTAAAAAAATGCATGTTCTCATGAATGGATAGTAGAACCAGCTGCCTTCTGTCCTTCCATCCTGGCTAAATGGTTTTCTTTTTCTCCTGATCAGAAGCTTCTCAGGGTCGGTCCTCTTTTGTTTTGCCATCATCTCAACTCCATTCAGTCTGATCTTTTGAAGTCAACCTCCTTCTTTTTGCCTCTCCATGCTCCAGTCTCTGTTCTCTTCCCAGACGATGCCATTGTCTGTTACATTGCTATTTCCATCTACTGTGAGAGTGTTTAAAGCATTCTTTTGGCTTGGAGCCAGTCAACCGCCATTTCAAAAGAACACAAAATTCCATAAAAGCTGTGCTCAGGAAGCTGAGATATTTTTGACCCCTGCAAAAGGGGGAAATAAGGAAACTGGACATAAGAGACTCTGGATGGCTGGGTTCCTCAGGGAAGGTTGAGGTGGAGGGTTGTGGAGGATCACTTTCTATCCTGATGTTTTCAATTCTTAACCCCAGTACATCAGTCTTGCCTTTTGTGGTAAAGCCATTGCTAACTTCAACTTGGTCTGACTTTATAAAAAGCAATGAGTGGAACAGCCCATAATATCCAGGATCTGGGTATGGATATGTACTGCTCTTTGCTCTCTATTCCCAATGCTTTAAATACAAGGCTGTCCCAGCACTTGTCCATCCACCGTAAGGACATTAAAAAAAACTTATTGAACTGGACAAGTCTGTTTTTTCCCCTTGCACAAAAATGGTAGCGGGGGGAAGGAGTGATGCCACAATTGAGGTACATACTTCCAGGGCTGTATGTACACATCTCACCACAAACCAAACTCAGTTTTTATAGATAGGGAAATCAATCTAGTTTTCATACTTGTTGGGTTTTTTTAAAAAACTTATTTTGTTGTTGGGGTGGGCTATGGAGGCTATGTAAGCTTTGGCCACAGGAAATTCTGATCATCTTCCTGCCTACCTTACTCTTTTAAGCTTGTAAAATGTAATGAGGCTCTCAAAAATTTCAAACTTGTCACCACAGCCTTGGAGGCTAGAAACATTTTTTCAATGGAACGGTCCAACTTGACCTGCATCCAGTTTTAAATTCTGGATTTTGTGCAGTATGATGGTGGAATGCACACAGCCCTGGGTGTATGTTGGTTTGGGTTGGGAATTGGGGAGGGTTGGGGGAGGGAGAGGGAGGGTGTGTTTTTTAATGGTGCTATATTGAAGAGGGTGATTGGAGGGTGCTCTCAGCTCCTGACATGGGAGTTTGAGGCCTCAGGGTAGTTCTTGCCCCCACAATCAGGCCGGTATCCTGAAGAGGGGGTGGAGGCAGAACCTTGTGTTTGTATTTTTAATGGTGTGTGTGTTAGGGGAGGGTATAACTTTTTGAAATACTTGATTGGAATAAAGTCTTTTAAAGCTATATCTCTGTCTTGGTGTGCCACTTAATTCATGTAATGTGTGGATTCAGGTACGTATTTCCTAAGTCTTGAATCATGTCAAATGATAGGAATATACTTGGCTTGAACATGACGTTCCCAGAGCGTGCCCAAATATATTAAAGGTTTTCCCTTAACGTTAAGTCTAGTCTAGTCCAATTTTGGGGGCTTGTGCTCATCTCCATTTCTAAGCTGAAGAGCTGGCATTGTCCGAAGACGCCTCCAAGGTTATGTCACCAGCATGACTTCATGAAGTGCTGTTACCTTCCTGCAGAAGCGGTACCTATTGATCTATTCACATTTGCATGTTTTCAAACTGCTAGGTTGGCAGAAGCTGGGGTTAACAGCAGGAGCTCACCCTGCTTCCTGATTCGAACCACCAACCTTTCGGTAAGCAAGTTCAGCAGCTCAGCTTCACCACCAGGGGCCCCCATGCCCAAATATAACAAACACTTTATCCAAAACAATGGTAGAATCCTCTTGCTGATAGATGAATTAAAGATGTATGTAAAATTGGATCAAAAAGGAAACTTCAAAATTCGGACAGAGATGCACTTATCAATATATGTGCTGTAAACCTGTTAAGAATACAGCTATAACTTATCAATATATATGGGTCCATGTGGAAGATCAGAGACAGGAGGAAAACAGAATATAAAATTGCCAACAAAGATAGGTGTGAAAACAAGTTTGTAAAATCAAATTCAAAAACATGGGATTCAATAATGTCCCACAAATGTCTAGATGTGGGCTCTTTGTTTTTAAACAGACATAGTTGTCCAGTAGGTGGTGCAATAGGACTAACTTCTCTCTGGACAGAGAATAAACAGTTTTGCAGATATGAGAAATAAATATTTACAGCATGCAATAATCAATATGGAAAGAAAAAATGTGTTCAGTAAAATCCACAAATAAAACAGAAAAAAACTCAATTTTAATAATTTTTTAAAAATGCAACTGAATTCCAGCCACCTGACAATAAAAACAGACTAAAATAAAACAAACAATAAAATCCATTCTTTCTCCCCATCGCTGTATCTCCTTCCTTTAAAAATAAATACATACAAAACTAAAAAACACAACTCAAGCCAAATATTTAGCAGAAGTTGACACAACTTGTAGAATGGAAATCTATTACAACATTTTGATATATGCAAGGCTGTCTTAAGGGGTGTCCACGGAATGCTGGGATGTGCCACGGCCCCAGACCCAGAAGTTCCTTGCACCCCTATTGCCTTGGCCTGTTTTTATTTTGAGCCACAGCTGTGTAGACACAGGATCCACTGAGAGGGTCCGGTTCTGTTGTCTGTCTGGTCTTGAAGGAGCAACTGCTCAATTCAGCATAGGTGATTTCCTCAGGTTCAACTACTACTCCAGTATTAATTTCCGTGGGCTACAGGTGAAATTAGAGAAAGAGAGAAAGGCTGAGGTTGAAGTTATAAATACATCCAATACCCTAAGCCTGTTGGGCATTGTGAAAGTTCTGGGTACGTATGTCCAGGTTTGCAATGTATGAATACAACCCTGCAACCGCTTCCTTTTGGGCAGCTACTACACTTGACAAAGATGTTTTGGGATAAATAAAGGAATTTTGATTGGCTGCTTTAATAAAGGTGGATGAGGCATCCCAAGGTTACCAGGAGCCTTATTAAAGGCATCCTCTAGTTCCATCCCATTTCAAAGGAGCATACTATTAGTAAATGTTTGTGCAATGTTTCAATGGACTTCAATAATAGCAGATGCAATGGGCTGTATTCCAGAGAAAGACAACAGGAACCCATGGCTGAATATTCATACTATTAAAACCAATGAAAAGTCTAAAACCAGTTCAATTAAAAAGGTACAGCACAGATCAGTCCAGCTTCCCTTGAAAGGGAAGTCCAGAGTTTATGGACAGCTCTCTCACAGCTCCACCAAATATCCCTGTAAACGTGGTAACATTAAAAGAATGATCTCTCCTGAAGATCCCCAGACCCAGACAGACTCATATGGGGACTTAATGTATGTCAATTTACACCTAATCCCAAGCCTCCCCCCATGTCCAGCAAGATGGGTGGGAAAAATGGATGCATTGATGTGATTACTGGAAGAAACAATCTGTTTTTTAGAAGAAGTTCACAGGCACAAGAAAAGTGTTGACTCGTCGGAAAAAGTCTTACCGTTTCCACTGGTTGACTTCTTTCATTGGCGGTAAATCCTGTAGATTAGAGGTACAGTATGAGATTTTCAAACTGAAACCAAATTGGGTTGCTGTGAGTTTTCCAGGCTGTATGGCC